AACAGAATCTGCCCGCTTATATTTGATTTTATACGATATATATAGTTTGTCAATAGTCTCCTTCGCGGCTTGCTACACCATCTTAAAATGGTAGAAGTGCCTTTGCATCGAAGCGAGACGACCCTTCAGCTTGCAATGATAGAAACCGTCTTTCACACCTACAAACGCTACTATCTCTAATCTCTACATACAATTATTAACAGATATCTACCATTGCACGCTCAACGGTAATCGTTCTTTTTTGCTCAGATACCTTTCAAGATAACGCAGGACAAGAAGGTTACTGAAATTAGTGTATTTTACCTGAGTCTAAGTTTGTAAATCCTTTCATAATCAAGGGCCGGTCAATTCGTCCAATGAACAGAACACCCAGAATTATTCCTTTGAGGATGCGCAGAAAACAAGATATCAAACCGACCAGAATGTTGAAGAAGAAAAAGAAGAATGACACCAACAGAAACAACCTCCTGAATGAAAAACAAATGCAAGATTTTAAATAAATAAAAAAAAGGAAACTAAGAAGAAGCCAGTGAGGGCCTAATACTGTTTGAAAATAGCACACAGAACGCTCCATTTTCAGCGGTAACAATGCGTAAAGTACTGGATGATTAAAAGGAAAACTTTAAAATTTCATAAATATTTGGTGACTTTTTCGTTTCAGTTGAGTTAGAGTATCTCAATTCCCAATAGCATTCTGTATACGGTATATGATAAAAAAGCTTTAGAGGTCTATAGAGTGCACGTCACATATAAGCATGAAACAATTCTTAACTAATTAGCGCCTAATAAGATTTAGTTATCAACTAACTAAGAATTCACCGGGGCATGAACACAATGCCAGAAAGGAAGCTTGTCTTTGTTTATGCCTCACTAAATTCTTAGTTAGTTGATAACTAAATCTTATTAGGCGCTAATTAGTTAAGAATTGTTTCATGCTTATGTGACGTGCACTCTATCATAGATATTTTACATAATTGTAGTTAAATATTAGTATTTCTGAATAAAAATGAATAAAAAAAAATTCTGATACGTCGAAAAAAGAACACGCCTTTCTTACCTGTTGTGAATATTAACGACTTTGCTGTCAATTGACCKGTCTTTGAATACAAAGCGAGCCAATATTTGCTGTACTATGAAAATAAATAATGCCATGGCAACGGTAGGGCTGTGAACACAAAAGCAGAAGAAATTTTAACTTAAAAGTTACTATACTTGCTCAATTTTTTTAAT